GATGAGGCTAAGTGGTCTGGAAAGGTATGCATCTACTACAAGAGATGAAGAACTGTAACAGAAAGGGCTGTTTTCAAACATGAAAAAGGCGAATAACAACAATTACTTGCAGAGAAATCATGCAAATCAGCAATAGTTATCAAGACAGAGGATTCCTATACTATCACAAAGAATCAGAAAATTGATTATGCCAAAAAGGTTTTCAAGAATGCAGTTTATTGCATAAAATACAGCTACAAATTCCTTGTTGAACTAAAAAAATTAGGTCCTCAACCTACGCATAGAGCAACGAACTTGAAACAAAGAGAAGCATGACTGAATCTCCGAAAGTGTAATTACTTACTGCTGGTATTCATCATTTGAGCCTTTGGATTCATCCACTGCTTTTGTGAAAGCAGAGGTGTAGACAAAAAACAAGATGACCCATTCCTTTTCTACCACCTCTCCACCACAAAGATATTAATACAAACCGTTCCTTAGCTGTCAAATTCGAGTGACATTCATAACAGAAAAAGAAAACTGAAGAATACTGAAGGAAGTAAGGAGGGTGGGTTATAGCAGTGAAGAGATCGCACTACAGTCATATAATTACTTATCTTTCATTCTTTTGCTGAATGAAAGTTATACAGTGGTGGATCCAATAAATTGAACTTTATTATTGGATACCTGGTCCAATGTATTTATGTTCTCCCTTGCTTAGGCCACTTACATTCTTTGCCACTATTTTTATTATATATTTCAAGTGTATTACTGTTGTGGTTTAACCCAGCAGGCAGCTGAATACCACCCAGCCACTCGCTCTCTCCCCCTGCCCAGTGGGATGGGGGGGGAGAATCAGAAAAAAAGTAAAACCTGTGGGTTGAGATAAAGACAGTTTCATAAAACAGCAGAGGAAAAAAAAATAATATTAGAATACACAGAATATACAAAACAAGTGATGCATAGTGCAATTGCTGACTGATGCCCAGTCCATCCTTAAGCAGCGATTGCTGTCCCCCCAGGCCAACTGCCCCCGAGCATGACGTCGTATGGTCTGGAATATCCCTTTGGCCAGTTGGGGTCAGCTGTCCTGGCTGTGCCCCCTCCCAGATTCTTGTGCACCTGGCAGAGCAGGGGAAGCTGGGAAGTCCTTGATTTAGTGTAAGCACTGCTCAGCAACAACTAAAACATCAGTGTGTTATCAACATTCTTCTCATACTCAATCCAAAACACAGCACTATGCCAGCTACTAGGAAGAAAATTAACTCTATTCCAGCCAAAACCAGGACAGTTATCTACATGAAATCCATCCAGATCAGAGAAGGTCAGTTCATGGCTGACCGTGACACCGAAGTCCTACACACACCAGTGGCTAAGGGGCTGCGCACAGTACGGCTGGGGAGGTCAGCTCCCCTCCAGCAGACCATTAGCAAAGGGAGCCCACACTGGCTGTGAGCAGCCAGGAGTGGAAGCCTGTGAATAGGCAATGAAGCCACCATCACATGGATCCAGAGCATCCTTGGGGCTGACATCTGGCTTTGAAGGGTCAATTTAGTATGGTGCAGGGAAACCACACAGCTACCAGGTTTGCTGAATATATGTAGGTTCCCATTTGCTTTTGTCTCTCCCACCCTTCGGTACTCTACAAAACACTCAAGCTTCGTAAAGAACAAACAGACTCCAACCTTCATCAGCAAAACTGGATCAACTCTTCGTATCAATGAAATCATAAATTAAACACATTTCATAGCCAGACTTGCAATCAAAGACAGCAAGATGAAGAAGATTCCTGTCTGAAATTGAACTAAACAAACGATTCCAGACTTCGGTGGCGGGATGCTTCTAGGCCGTTTGTTGCTATTTTACATTAGTCTTATGTAAAGGAGGGTATTCTTCCTTCAAATTCTATTTTAGCAGTAATCTTGATTGTAAGATCTTTAACTCCATTGACAAGATGAAAAATTTTAAGCACAAGAAGAATACTAACCATAGCCCAGAATCTGACCAACTGTCCTCCAAAGAATTAAATGGATATATATGACAAGCAGCTAGCTTAAAGATTCTTCTAATAATTAATATATAGGACAAAGAACAAAGACAAAATAATAAATGACATTTACATTAATTTAGTTGGAGAGTTCTTGGTACACAAGCAAGCAGATCTCAAAGTTGCCTAATTTTAATTCTCAAGTCAGATTATTAGAATATTTTCATTGAGAAACTGTTTGTTGTTTATGTTGATAGGGTATCACCAGAAACAACTGTCTGATACTGAAAATTCTAGTACACTGATTTTATACAAACTTAAGTATTAGCATACACGTTGCTGGCTTCAGAATAACAACAGAACTACTACTATTTTAAAAGAAAAAATCAAATTAGGATTCGCAAAAGCTTTTAACCTCTACTGGAAACAAAAAAACTTATATTTTTGTTTGCACTGCTTCAGGCAAACAGTATTGCTCACGCTTGACCACTTATCTTTTAAATCCTTCAGTTTGGGGAAGCAAGGCCTCTGAAGTGGCCTGAAGCCAGCTTGCATCAAGGACCTCTGTTACAAATAAAGTGGTCTAAAACAGATGGTTACAAAACTCAAAATCCTGACAAATAAAGAGCAGCAAAGAGCAGTTAGCACTGCACAATTCATTAAGATTCTCATGATAAAGGAAGAAAACCACAGATGACCCATAGACCGAGATGCTGACGAATGATCTGCTTGCAAACAGCGGGAAGCATGGAGGAGCCTGCTGCTCACACTCCCCACACGGAGAGCAAAGCGCTGCACACTGTGAGGTGGTGAGGTTTTGGCTGGCGAGAGTAGAAGAGTTAAGGAAAAAAGAAAAAGGAGTCACTGTTGGAAGAGTCCCAGTGGTAAACAAAGTAAATCAGGATGCGAACACCGCTGCTGCAATGCACGGGTTGCAGTGGGAGTAAACTTCTGAAGGGGAATGTGAAGGTGGCCCTCCCACCGGGCTACCTAACCGCACCACAGATTCAGCTATCTTTGTCGCAAGCCACAAGGGGACACAACCCACAAAGTCAGGAGCTCATGTCACACCAATTTAATAGCAAAAAGTAAATGCAGAAATTCAAAAAGTGAGGCTTATGTTTCTGACAGCAAATTTAATAAAGCAAGCTTTGAATTTCCCCACATTTTTCTGATGGTATGTTATAGCTTCTGATCAGGAACAAAATTTCTCATTCCCAGTCTTTGACTTTTCTTCTTTGCAGTTTTAAGGCAATGTTTTTTCCACTGTAAAGTTTTACATGATAATTCAGATTTTTGACTCTGCTATATTTACTATATTCTCTTGTCTGCAGCGCAATCACAGAACCCCAGCAAAAAGAAAACTATTAATAAAGAATAACATGTCCTCTAACATTTATCCAGTACAATGAAAAAGTGTAACTAAACCACCCTGGTGCTCAAAAATAGCTACCTGCTTTTTACAAACCCAAACTCGGGAGTTAATTTTAATACACTGTACCATAAGGTTTAAACGAGATAGACCTCTAGTCACAGTGAAATCCACCTACTGTGAGGTATTTCACCAGCTATGGGATATTCCAGGTACAAATAAATAAGGAATTATCTCTCCCCAAATATACAGGCGTGGTTAGGGTAGAATCAGAATGCAGAAGCTTCCATTGCCAAACCCTCTGGCTCAACCTTTAGGGCACGCAGCATATCCTATCTGGCACCCCTACTTCCTCCCTATTGCTCATGCACCCCTTCACCCATGACGCTGGGGGGTGCTCAGCTCCCCCAGGGTGCTCCTGCCTCCCTACTGAGCAGTGGAAGGCAACAGCAGTAGCACACTGCAGGAACGCAAGGACAAGAGCAGGAACCTCTGCATTTGTTATTTTTGTTTGAATAACAACCCAAAGGACTAGAAATCAGACTCTGTATGTACCTCGTTAAACTGGGCTTATGCTACCTGTAATGCTCATATTGCTGCAAGACATCAGAACTGTTTAGCAGTCCCATTTAAACTGAGAGACAGGTTTGGACTGTGGTATAGGTTGCATTGATTTTCTGTATGTCAAAATGATAAACCAGCAACAGCATTACATGTTCAGCATTCTTTCTCTTTCAGAGTTCAATGAAGACACGCAAGAAGAGTAAACAGCTGTCAGAGGTAAAGTAGAGGACTTCTGGGATTCTTCACAGTCCTCCTTTTCAACGATTCTAAGAAAAACTGACTTCTTTAGACCCTTTTGAAAACTTTTGCCTAAGAGTAAACAGATACTGTGCAAGTCAACTATTTAAAAAAAAAAATCTCCGTTTGGTTTTGGAATTACCATTACCAGACTTAAGTAGTAGTTCTCTCTATAAATCTACCTTCTCAATACTCCAATTCAACCAGCTTGCACCTTGGCTTTATTCTGCTGAACAGCTGAACTGCTGAACACAGCATTACTGTTATTCTATTGCCATGGTCTATCTTTCTGACTTTCATGCTGACAACATTAAATGCTTAAGTAATTATCTTAGAATATTTCTAAAAACAATAGTTTATACACATTCTGAAGTGACCTAGGCACATCTTGAAACACTGGCATTTTACCATCACCACATACAGTTTTACCAGAGGTGCTGAATAATTCCATTCCAGTATGATTACGCATTCAACTTGCTTGGTTCATTGACTCAGTTTTTTAATCACTAACTTAAGCTAATGTAATTTTTGTTGACATCACACTTATTTTCTTGCTCTCATATCTACAATGGAGCATAAGACCTTATTTCTGAACAAAACGCTAAACAGGGTCATTAAGTAGAAAATTAATTTAATAAACAAGTAGGTACAAAAGTGTTCCACAGGCACAAGCAGAGAAAAATCTTTGTACGCTAGAACTATTTAATTAACGTTGAGAGTATTGTTTGGTAATTCACAGAAATGCCTACTAAAAACAAATATCTGTTTGGTCATTGAACAGATAGAGAATTTTAGCAGGTGTCAAGGATAATATGCATTGACTCAATACAACAAATTTCTTCGAAAATGAGCAGAACTTACAGAAAATGATGAGCCATCCTTTGAAACTGCAACCGGGTAAATTCCATCTCCTAGACGCACAGAGAGCTCCCAGCTACTTCTCTTTGATTTAGCAATAGGAATTCTAAAAAAGAAACAGACAGAAGAAGAATTTTTAACAGAGATTTCATGCTTCTCCCATTTTAACCAGAAGCGCTCGCCTCATAGGCTGGTCATCAAGGATGTGTGATATCATTACTCTATGGACACAGTTGGAGAGCATACCTGAAAAAAAGAAATACTAAATACACTTTTCTGTCAAATGGCATATAAGGAGAAAATACACTCTGCTTTCTTTCTGGATTTGCCTTGACACACTGCGTGTGCTGATAAAGTTATAGGAAGCTCCTGAATACAGCCAGCGCTTGCTGCGGAATTAGCTCAAACAGGATGAAAAGCAGATGAGAAGGTGGGCTGGCAGGAGAATAGCAACAGCGATAGCTGGAGCATTCTTTTTTAAGGGCAAAATATAATCACTATTTCTTTCATCTCGTTCTCAGTAAACCTTAATTAAAGGCCAATTACAGACAAAAGATTCAGCCAAACAAGTAATACAAGTAATTTTATAATTAACACACTTTTTAGAGTATCTCATCCACAGAACCCTTCAAGCAAACTGAAAAAATTATATATCGTCACAGCCCACATGCAGGATTATAGCTATTCCTGCAGCATTCTATGGCTGCACCAGTTATCAGGCAGTACAAGATACCTGAATCTAGCTTAAAGAAGCATACCTGACAGCAAAGGAATGAGCTCTGAGTCTCCATTCTTGGAAGTTCAGAGCGAAACAAGTAATTTTCAGCTATCTTATTTAAATGTATATTCAATTTCGGTTTCCTCATCCTAACTTCTCAAGTCTCTTCCACTTTGTTATAACAACTGGTGTCCAAAGGTATGCTACAACTTTTCTAATGAGTGGTTGCCATGTATTAGCATCAGCCAGCACCATGTGGCCTAAAGAGAAGGTAGAAACGTGGAGTTTAAACTCCAGTAAAACAAAGACACATGATTTTGGTATAGCTTTTCTTCCATGCTGACTCTTACACATTTACTTTTTCTGTAAGAAATCTATAGAGATAAGTTAATCACCTTTAGGTCTCTTCTTAAGGATTATTTCTGCTATAATGTTCGCCTATTGTATATTAGAGAGCTTATTACACCATTTCACTGCAGCCTTCAGAGTCTTAAAACTTGGAAACACGTTTTTCTGTGTTATGTCGCATGCATCCTCCTGAGCATTCACGTGCCCAGGGAACCACATTTCCCCAAAGGGAGTGCTCAAGTTCCATGCAGAATCAAGAGGGAGAGGCACCTCTGAGGCCTTCAGAACCCATGAGAGGAGAAATTACCTGCCTAAGCTAAGGATAACAAACTGGCTGGATAAGGATTTCAAAAATTATTTTAAGAAGGTTGGGTTTTTAGACACCTGAATTCTAAGTAAGTACAATTTCAAGGTACCTAATTAGGCAAGGAGTTTCCAAAAATTGTGCCTTGCAATGTGCCTCAAAAGGGGAAACGGACACCTTAAATATATTAGCTAGAAAGAGAGCTGCATGCTTATCATCAGTTACTTCTGGATCCAGGCCAGGTAAGGCCTACACCAGATTTCAACAAACAACTTCGCTCACCTCTAACTATCACTACCCACCGAGTTCATGAAAACAGATACTGAAAATAACCTGTTGCTATACTAATGATGCCAAGTGTTACCTTTTGCATTTAATATACAGCAGCAATTGTCAAAACAACAAATCTGAGGAAATCTCTATGGCTTATTGGGTGCAACATTTCTCAGCACCTCGTCTTGAAATTCCTGTCATGTCACCAAAACATTTAGACTGGCTGATAGGAAACGTGACAGACACGGGTGTTCCTGAAGAAGAGGAACAGGAATTTCCTGCACAGGTAGGAGGCAGCAAGCTGAGAGATGTTTTCATTGCACTTCCTGGTATCAGAGCCCCCAGAAGGAGGAATGCAGCAGGGTTTTGGCAGAGCCTGGCTAAATTCTCCATGGTAGTCCACTGCAATAACCAACAGGATTTAATGGTTTATAGCAACTTCATATTTCTTGTGTAAGAGGTAAGACCTCGTCTCAAACACAGCTTAGCAGATCCGCTTCACTGGTGGCATGAGATTCCTTACAACCTTGCCAGCACGGCCCTGCTTCATATTGCATTTGACTGGAAGTGACCTCATGAATCTGGCTGCTGGCCATCAAAGGGAAGACAGTCTTGTTCTCCAGCAGGGATTATTTTTGTTCAGTCCTGTCTTGCTGAGCTTTGTCAAGTGTATCTCCAAACAGGATGCATGCCTCTTGAAAGGCATGACTATGATCGCTGCTTTGCCTGGGTTTCAAACAGCCACACAGGCATATAATTCCGCTCTCTGCAACACTGGTGGTCAGAAGGGCAAGGTCCAGAGCTGCAGCTAATACCAAGTACTCGGCAAGTTGTACTTCCCTCCTGGAATTGCTAGATCCATTTGCACAGGGACATTTTTCAGCTTTGCTAATCAAACACCTGTGGCTTTGTAACCGTAACCTACAGTTACACCGGCTAAGAGAGATGCTTACATTAGCTCATAAGAATCCTACTTTTTCTTCATTAAATCAAATTCCTTTCAAATAAATTATCCTGTAGTACTAGACTCCATTTTGATGGATTCAGAGGTTGGTTGGTTGCTTTATATTGGTAAGGATCACGAAGTCCAAAAGTAAGGATCAAAGTCCAAGTTTCTTGGATATGGAAAGGAAGTTGCTCAAGTCTGTGAACTACTTTAGAGATGCAGAAGTTTCTGTGTGACTAAGAAAGGGGCTTTTTGGTGGGGTTTTGTTTTGTGTAGGGTTTGGTTTCTTTTTAATGTCTAAGAAGTCCCAGTGCATGGGAAAATCTCTGTGTTCTTGGGCAAGGTTGCTTCCTTACTTGAGAACTCTTCTAAGTCTTCCAAAGAGAAAACATCTGGGCTTCTGAATATATTTTCCATTAGTTCATGGAAAACTCCACAAACTTTTGGCTATTTTCAAAAATGTACATAACTTTTAAAATTCTACATGCTGGGCTGAAATCTGACACATTCTGTTTACATAAAAAACAGTGAAAGAAAAAATAATGTCATTTTTACCATCATAAAAGACACAAAAAACTTGAGGCGCTTCCCCTTCAACCCGAGTTTCAGAATCCACATGATATGACTTTCATAGGGTTCAACATGCCCTCCCTTTCTTGTCCCAGTTTTGGTAAATGATGTATCATCAAAAAAGTTACTTTCTTTACATATAAAGATCACTGGCTGCAGGAAGAAACGCAAGTTTGTCAGCAAGATGAGTGCCAGGTGAATGGGAAGGAGGGCCACAGAGAGCTGTGCGCTGTTGTCCCTCACCGGGCATATTACACACAAAGAGAAGAAGAGAGCAAAGGCAGCTCTGCGGCTGTGACGACAGGAGGTGGGTGGAGAAGAGCGTTATGGACTCCCTTCATACAGAAATGGGCAGTTCTGAACCTCCCTGCTCCACACCGCCTTCTAAAGGGAAGTATCAGGAGCAATATGGGCACAGGCAAAGAGTATGGTGATGGCCTGGCTCTAAGTCATAAAGACATTGCTCTAGAGCATTGAAGTTGCAAGAACACATACACGGTGCGAGAAGAAAAACAGCAGTGTTTGCCTGCTCAGTTACTTATTTATTTTCAACCTCTGTTTGTTCAAGTACAGATGATGTCATGGTCCCACAATTTATTTCATACATTGCACAGTGTATTATGTCCCTTTTACCCCCAGGTGCCATGAGAGAGAGAGGGGGAGATATTTTATAATAACGCAGCAATTATAGCTCCTGCTTTCTTTGCAAGTTTTCCGTGAGGAAAGCAGACAACGGCTAAAAATTTTAGATCGACACACACTTACTGTGCTCCTGGAAAAACAGACACTAGTTAAACCATTATCTATTCTAGTCAAAAACAAATAACGAAGGAAAACAGACATTCACAAAAGCAAGTCAAGTAATAACTCTGCCCCGGCCTGTCCATTTTTATTGTCGTCAGCCAATCAGATAGAAGGAACTCAATAAAACTACAATTTTCTGCAGTTTGTGGCAAATAAACTCCCCTCTCCCGATTACTGTTGATGATGTAATGAGCTATGATAAATGTCACCAGCTCCTAAAGGGTCAGGAAATTGAGTATAGATTTTTTTACTTCCCATTCAAAATGTGAGTTCTAACACTGGGGGGAAAAAAGCTTACAAATTCTCTTTACTTCTGATATTTTTGCTGCATAATACTTCACATAAACACAGAGAAATCCCAAACTATCATAACAAATTCTCCCGTTAAGAAAGATTATAAGCGTTTGAAAACCACTTTATATGACACTCCGTAAAGCTGTTTTTCAATTGTGCAATTACCTATTCAGCAGTTAAATAAAAGTGAAATATTGACTTAAAACAATGTTAATGGTCAAAGAATCATTAAGAAATCCTTCATCATAACTTTCACAGCAGGTGGCCTGTAAAATGATCAAGAATAATGTGCTGGATTCTGTAGCCACCAAGGTCAGTTTCTGCATACAAATCTTTGCAGGGGGAGAAAAAAAGACCTTCAGAAAGTGGGCCATTCATCTGAACCAAGTTCAGAGAATTTCCAGCACTGTGAAAAGATATGTTATGCAAGCACATAGATGTATTCAGTGGGGGTAGACTGAACCAGCTACATGGAGACTACAAAGGAGCCCTCCCATGGCTCATGAATAAGTCGAGGAAATGATCAGAAAAAAAATGGAGAGATGTTTAGACAGATGGCCCACTTAAAATGCCTGGGACAGGGCATAAGCAATTTTAATGAAACTTTAGATCTACCATATAAATTGTTTCTTATTTTCTCCGCCCTCCCCCCCAAAAAACTCAAGGAAGGCAAATAGAAATTTAACAACTCAAACACGAGCCTATCTTACGATGTAAAAAAAGGAAAAAGGGAAGTAAATCTCACACTTCTGAGCATGATTAGCTTAATAAGTTCATATACAAAGAAATATCCTTCACAGGACCTTCAACTATCAGCTGAATATAAAAGCAGGGAATGGATAGATTAAA